AAATAGCATAGAAAGAAAGAGCATTTTTTTCTCTATCATCCTGTGTAAAAAGAAACTTTTATCAAGCTTACTAAGTGGTACTAAAATGTCGTTGCCACTACTTTTGGATACCCCTAAGTATTTCACGTTATTTTTTTCTTGGATTTTTCAGTTTGTGATGCATACCATTTTTGCAGACGGAGTTTACCTTGTCGACTGAATAGAAGAATAGATTGCATCTGAATTAAGACCAATTTGAATAACTTTAAAAATTTAAACCAAGTATTTAATGAGAAAGTATAAGTATCAAAATATGCAGTGGCACACTATTTTGTTTTAGTCATTCTGGTTGAGTATTATCATGCTGAGTAATACATTGTGAGTACATTGCGCATTATCTATATATTTATTTATTTTATTTATAGATTTCGGTACGTTATTGTTGGCCCTTTCCATCAGGTCATTATCATTAGTTAACTCATTTTTACTGAAAAATAGTTTTCTCTGAATGTTAATTTATTTTTTTGTCTTTTTTTGACAGTTACATACTCTATTAAATCAATACAGGTTTTCACATAGTGATGTCATTTTGATATACACAAAGTTCTAGCTTTTTTGTAAAAGAAGTCTTCCACTTGCACTTAATTATCATCCTAATATTTGTATATAAAAAAATTTCACAGGACGACCAGGTTGACGAAAACGAATGATATTCACAGACAAGTTGAAGAGATTCATAGTCTAGCATGAGAAGACTTGACCTACGACAAATAGTAGACCTGTTTGAACCTCTGACGTCTATTGACTAGCTGAACTAAATGCTGTAGAATCTGAAGTCTATTCTATTTGAAAAATTCAGACTAATTACAAGAGGAAATTGTGATCTTGAAACAAAAAAGCTTTCAATTGTAAAAGATTTGACGTATTACTTGATCTTTAAATCGAAGTAAACATAATAGCAAAGAACAGATCTAAGACTGTTTTTTAGCATATGAGAAATACCTCTGTAGCATTACGTCTTCACTTTGAAACTGCAGTATAGTCAATCTAATATTTCCATTACAAAAAAATGGTTAACATTATCAATTTCATCATGTGTTTAAATGTATTGAAAAAATATATTTTTACAATTCATACCTATTTTAATTGATATTGGTGATAGATGATCTGAAACAAACATTGAACTCAGTTTTGACTGTATTTTCAATTTGCTATTGTTGAATAAAAACATACAAAGCTGATCATTGTTTTTTTCTTTTAAGGCACATAGCACCCGAACCATTTTAAAAACTATTCCAATGTGCGACATACATTTAATTTTTTCCATATCTGATATAAAGTATCATTTTAAATTTAAAATACATCAACATGAGCTCAATGAAAAAATATTTAAAGCAAAAAGAGAAAATAATTGATACTGTTACAAATACATAAAATATTGAGATTCGAGCAAAACGAAAATTTAAAACAACTGTTATTAATCTTGTTCAATTATTTGAGGCATTATTGAATTTGAACTTATTTTTGTTGTTGATGATGATGATGAACTTGATCGAGAATTTTTTTGGTTTTATTGTTGTAAAAGTAGATCTTGAACTATGATTAAATGATATAATAAAAGGAGACTGTCCAATACCATTCGATTTTGATACATTATCATAACTTGTCTTTTCATCGCAACCAACTGCACAAGTCAGTTTAGGATATTGTTCAACAGATGATAGTGTAAATCTTTTTGGACATTCAATTGTTATTGGAATATTATAAGCAAGTTTAGATATCAGTTCGACATTTGTCCTTGATGATTGAAAGTTGTTCGATGAAGGTATCATTACATCATGTTCTTTAGAATTTAAAAAAAAGACTTCTAAATTTATTAATATAATCTATTGATACTAAAAATGGTATTTTCAGGACATGAAGATATTGATGATATATCTGGTGAAGAATTTCGAGAAGTTGCTTTCGCTTTCGAATTATGCCTTTGAACGACAGTTTTAGAGAACTGACTTTTTGAGAAAGTAAAAATAAAAATAAAATTGAGATTACACAAAAGCACAAAATGAGGTAATTAAAGGAAGCAGCCGATCTCAAGACAAGGTCCATATACGTCTGTTTTCAATTTTGAAAATCAATCGATTTTAACCAGCAAATATCGAGGTCTATCAGAAAACAGTAGATATTCTTTTACCGCAACAGCTTGCAATTTCTTATATTCGATGGATATTTTTCATTTTGAAAGAGCGCGAATGTCCTAACATCGAAAAATATAAGAAAATTCAAAAAAGATCTTGCTAGTTTTACTGAGCAATAACGAATAGTTTTTAATTATTATGGGGAATTGGATGAATGCTCACCGCTGTAGCGATTCGTACCTTCATGATAAATGTGAGAGTCTAATCCACGTTCTTATATTCTTCTTACGTATTTCCAGATTGTTTTCTTGTTCTGTCTCATACTTATGGCATTATTGATAGATAATCATTATTTCGATCAACTGATGTTCTATTATCAGATGGTTTTGGTCGATCATATGTTTCATTTGAAGCATTTCTCTCTTGTTGAACATTTGTTGCATTTTTATCACTATGATTTAAAGATTCACGTCTCAATAGGACAAATGCTTGATCATCTTATAATTTAGATGCATTTCGATAGATATTTTTATAATTAATGGTAAAGATTTAACATTTGAGGGTGAATAAACTTCTAAACAAAAAATAAACAAAAAAAACTATTAATACAATGAATAAAAATTGTTCCAATTTGTTCATTGATTAAAGCAGCTTGCACGTCACGTGTACACTCTTTAGAAAATGATACCTTGCAAGAATTTAAATCTAATTCACAATCTGTTTGTTCGCTTAAACGTGATTTATGTATACGAAATATTCTATCCACCAGTGTACAATATTTTGTGACAAGTTTCGAATTCTCGAGAGAAATAATAAGAAAACCTATGATTCACAAAGAATTGTTTTCCTCTTGTAAAAAAAATCCATCTCGCAATTCACAATATTTACGGATTCTATCATTAACATGAGTTACATTCGCTATTTGATCGAGTAAATACGAGACAATTTTACTTCTTTTTAGATTAAGTTCAATGAACATGCGACGAACATTACGAGAAAAATTTCTCACATTACTTCGAATTTTTGACTCATATTTTGACTTTTGTGATGATGTTGCATCGAAAAATACCTTTTGAAAAATAATATTATGTTAATTATACAAGATAATATTGATTACTTTAAGCCAAATATCCATTTGATTTAAATTTGATGGTTGAACATAAATTGCTTCACCAAGATCAATTTACAAACATAAGCGTTCAGTTTTATCAATGTTTGTTGTATGAATCTAATTTTATATACTGATAATAAGTTTCTTTTTTCTTCAAAAATTATTTCTTTTTATTTTCGCATTAGTCATATCTGATCCCCATAGTGGTGAACAATCATTATCTGATTTTCCTTGACGTGCTAATCGATATTATTTATTATCTGGGCAACAAATAAGATCGAAATTATTCAGAACACAGTAGCGCCATATCCAATTGCGATTTTTATCACAAGTTAATAAAAGACTATCAGCTACAATAGTGGACGATGATGAAATTTCGTTATTTTCTATTATATAAATAATTTCCTTTTAAAATAAAAAAAAAAAAACTTTCTTTTGAGATATTTTACTATCTAATAATTGTGATGTTAATAACTCTTAATAATCATTTTTAGATGTGTCAATATACCCTACCATTGACTGTTTTCAGTATTTGATTCTTATTTTGTACTATTATTTAGTTGATTGTCGCCGGTAGATAATTTTCTTGTCACGGTTGCTGTTGTTATTCTTCTTCATTGAAAAATTCATCACTGTCTTCTACTGAGACAGTATCAGTATTAAGTTTTAAAAATAAAAAACACAAAAATTTAATATAACAATAAATATTTTCATTTACAATGATTGTTGATTGATTTAGTGGATCAAGTTTATCAACATACATAGCAGCAATTTTTCCATGATCAATCTCTAAATGTGTATTGTTTAACATCAAACGAAGAAATTCATCACAAATTCCAACATTCGTATGCAGAGCTTTCGTTTGGTTTTATTCAGGAGGGGGAGAAAGTCAGGGAGAAAGTAGCCGAAACTTAAATAAAGCTTTCTATTTGGGAGAAAGCACCTGATTCTCCTTGAAAACCTAAAGAGAACACATTATCTTTCTCAAAAACAGCTGCTTTTCTTTGAAATCTTGAGATAAAGTTTCTCTTTAGAAGAAAATGGTTGTTTCTCTTTGAAAATTAGGCAGAAAGCTTTCTCTTTTGCATGGTTTTGGTACATTTCCACTATTGAAAATACCGAAAAAACCACTAAACAGCAGCTAACAAAAATTTCCCGGGGGAAAGGCAGAACGCAAGAAAAAAATTAGGTGAGGGAAAATTCCCATCTTCCACTCCCTAATCGTATGGTCTGACAGCTACAATTTTCTTTATATAGCAATAGCAGATTCAGATTCATTATCTCTCACTTGTCAGTTGAGTCAAGATATCAGAAAGAGACTTAAATTCATAATGATTTCCTCTATCCGAGTCTAAGATTTTGAAATAGCAGATATCGTATACAGTCGTGCTCTGGCATTTTTCGGGCTCGTGCAGTGAGTCGCCTTGTCTATTCCAGTTTTGCTCGAATGGCAGCCTAGTTTTTTTTCTCTTTGAGAGAAAATAGCTTGTTCTCTTTAAAAAATTGGAAACAGAACTTCGCTTGTGCATAGCCAATCTGATCCACCGAAAGATTAAAAACCATTAGCTTTTCATAACAGAAAATTTCCTGGGAGAAAGGCAGAATGTAAGAACAAATTTAGGAAGGGGAAATCACCTTGCTTCCCCCTCCTAATCGTAAGCTATGTTCGCATGCGTTATCTTCTATGTCGAAGAGGATCTTTGTATAATCTATAAAACAACATAATACTCTAGTTAATTAATGACGTAAGTGTGTAAGTGAATACTATTGTTTCTCCTCTATTTTTCGTTGTTGTTAACGTATTCAAGTATTTCTTTATTTCAACCTTGAGATCTTTCTATTTATATGCATACTTATGAGCTCACAATGATGATATTCGTTCTAACACAATCTATTTCGAATGCATACTCAATGTACATTTCATGCTTATCTATATTGAGAGAAAATGAAGAAAAAGATGAATATCTATTCTTATTCAATCAGCAAACATATAAATATATGCATAGATTTGTAAACCAACAGTTTCATCTTAAATTCTATGCGAACGCTCACATGCAATTATTTTATCCATCTTATGCATGTGGTTATTTACTTTTCGTCTATCAGCAATTTTATTTATCTTTATTTCCGATTACTTGTAGACTACAGTAAAAGTCACAAGTCTACGTTTTAACAAAAGATTGATGTTTGTATCCATGTTTACAATGTAATCTCTATCTAAGCAAGATCAAAGAAAGCAATGGTCACTTGTGTTTTTACTAGCCGATTTTTTCATTGTTGTCTTTGTATGAAAAGTTTTACTTACATTTATAATGTACAATACAAGCAAGAAGATATGAGCTTATATTTAACCAATTTTAGCTATCGATTAGAGACAACAAAGCTGTTTACATGTATCTCGTACATCGTTCGAAAAAAACGACATAGCCTATCAAATATTGTCATGTCTAACAATAATTTCGTTCATATAGAAAAAATTACCTTTAGTTAATTAATCAAAGATAAACAAATCTGTATATGTCGACTATATTATAATACATAGTTACACGCTCACCACATTATTATCATTATCATTTTCTAGTATAACATTCGCGTTTGTAGCGACTATGTAACAAATCATATAAATTTTTCAATTAATGCATTCCCTTTTAACCTTCTACACTTAATTTTTTTTAATTTGAAAGAAAAAAAACCAAATACCAAATGCAAAAAAAACAACAAAAGTTTTACTCTATTAAAAACAGAATGTCATATATTGTTGATAACCTAATTTATCTAAATTTGGTAAACATGCAAATTTAATCATTGGTGGTGGACCACATATACATATTAGAACGTCATCAGCTGGCGGCGGCATATGTTCTTTTAACATGGTTTCATTAATAAACCCTTTTGAATAATTCCATTGTTCACTTTCCCGATCAACAGTATACCATAATTTTAATCGATCAGAACTGGATGCAGCTAATTGTTCTAATTCACTACGTAACAAGATATCTTGTTCAGTCTGGTTTGCAAATAAAAGCCAAATTTCCATGTCAATGCGTTGATGAGGTATATTTGATGATTGTTCTTTTAATATTTCATTTAATATTTGATACATAGGTGTTATACCTGATCCACCAGCAATTAAACCAAGATGACGAATATGTCGAGTTACAAATGGTTCAGGTTTACGTGAACGTATATCAAATAAACCATTATGTTTATAAATAAGATTACCTGATGGACCACTTACTTCCATAGTATGACCAAAATGAAGTTTATCAATATATTGAGTCATTTTACCATTTGGATATATTTTAATAGCAAGATCAAAATAACCTTGATTATCGTCTGATGTTACTGGTGTATATGGTCGTTTAACAAGTTCACCATTAATATGTGCTGTTAAATAAATATGTTGACCAACTGGTAAACCAAGTACATGTTTTGATGATGGTAGTTGAAAACGAAAACGACATGTATCATGAGAAAGATTTTCTTTATATACCAATGGAAATTTATATTTTATATCTGGATTTTTTAATGTAATGATGACATTTTTTCGTGTGACTTCTTCAGCATTATTCGATTGATTTTTTCTTTTATATAAAATAATAATAACAATAGAAAGAATACTAATACTACCAATAGCAACAAGAGTTGACGTATCTATTGACATATTTTCATCCAAAATTTAATAAATCAAGAAAGAAGAGAAGTATCAACAAGAATGGTAACAGCTGGATTTTTAATACATGAAATAGAATACAATTCATAGATGAAAAGCAGAATACCTGTTTCTTAGTATCGAAGAAAAAAAATCGGGACATTGATGAGTCTTTCAATGGTATCTGATCAGACCAATCAAAATTGACTGTGACAGAGGGCCTTATTCTTATAATCTCTACTAGTTAGATCGCACAAACTAATTCATAGATTGTTAGCTTCAATAAGGCTTAGAAAAATGAAGGATTAATTTACTTACGCTAGTAGTTACAATCTCAACACAAATGCTATTTTTGGGTAGAACTGAGAAAATATGTTATATAGGACATATAAATTTGATAAGGTATCGTATCTTTCGTAATTGAAACTAGGTTTTCTATTGAAAGAATGTCCTTCATAATTGATATTTTGACAACTAACTTTCGCATTATTTCAACATTTGATTGAACTTCTTTTTGTTTTACTTGTATATAATATCATCATTCCACTGAATACAAAATAATAATGAAGAGATTTCTATAATATGTTCATTATTTTAAATTGTATGATCTGAGTTTTCACAAGAATAATTTTGTAATAATAACTAATTTGATAGTTTTAGATAAAACTATTTTCTCAAACATGTAAAGAATCAAGACTAAATATTCAAAAGCTGGAAAAAGAATCTTCATTTTATATTTCGTCACACCTAAATATGGGTGTGGGTGTGGGTGGGTGTGGAGTGTGTGTGTGGATGGGTGGTGTGGGTATGGTTGTGGGTATGTGCCTGCCGAACAAGAGAAGATCCACACACACTTACACCTAACAACACTCACACCCCCATCCATAGAGGTCATCGACACAAAGATCACCGATTTTCTTTCAATCATCTAATTATATTATCGATCTTCATTTCCAGGATCATTCCTTTGTTCGCTTTGGAATCATACTGCAAGTATTATATCATATTATTGTTGACAGTTTCGGTTATCGAGATGAAGAATATGGAAAAGGTAATTTCTGAAAACAAGCACTGTCTATAGTCACACCGTTGATATCACGTCAACGAAATTATAGTTTGTCGAAGTTTGTCAATCTTCATTTTGACGGTGTGACTTTCTTCGAAATACATACGGATTTGTTTTACAGTCGATTTCATCAAATATTCAGGCTTTTGTCTTATTTCTTGAAGAAATATAGACATAATCTAATTTCTTTATAGCTGTGAATAAAAAGATTGCAGAAAAGAGATAGATGGTA